TTATTTTAAATCCATTTCATTTTCTTGCTTTTATGTTCTGAGTGTATAATTTTAGTTGGTGATTGTGAGGATGTTGATTTTCATTTTTTTTTTTTTTTTCTGAAAGTGTTATTACTTTAACATCTGAAGTAACTCTCACGAATGTAGTCTTATTCTGAATTTTTCTTTTTCTTTTTTGTTTTTATAGCATGTTGTGCTCTACATGATATGGTTCGCTTAGGATAGTTCTTGATTTCTTAGAAAATTGTTGAAGAATAAGTACGATTCAGTGCAATTCTTTTTCTGGGCAGATTCTGATTTTTTTTCTTATTTTAATTGGGCGTAATAATCGGTAGTTATTCTTAATATCTCTTCCATCATTTGATCTGGCTGCCAAAGGGTTTTTATTTTTTTTTATTTTTTTTGCCTTTTCTCTTTTTGTATTTTGTTGAAGTCCATGTACTTTTGCATTTGCTCATGGATTCAAACTGTGACATTTTAAGTACTGTTGATTTGCGTTATAGTGCATTTTTTTTTTCTTCCCTAATGACTAATCTGTATGCAACTCGGGCCAATCTGTGAATCCTTGGAGATAAAAGAAAATAATAATAATAATAAATCATAGTTTCTGAATTCTGATATTTTTTCACCCTTCTGTGTTTGTCATGTTTCTTGTACATGTATAATATTGGTGTATGTTTGTGTATTTGTGCTTCTCATCTATATCTCATGTATGCATCAAATTACTTTTCTTTTTTTTTTTTTCCTCTGGATGCATCAAATTGTACTTGGTGTTGATGGAGCTTGTGAATCTAGAACTTACTTTAGACGCTTTTTTTTCTTTTTTTTTTTCCTTGGGTTACTTGTCTGTAGTGTACCAGCTGAATGATGATCTTCACGTTTATATTAAGGAAAATCAATAGCCACTGTGATAGCTATAACATGATGCAGAACCTATTCTATATGTCTTTATTTGTCTCTTAACATTACATTCCTCGACTTCAACCCTCGCTGTGAGATCTGAAAACGGAGAACAAGAGAATGTTTGAATTGTAAAAGAAAGTTGCTGAGTTTTGCTGTGTACTACTAGTCTATGATGTTCTGGGATGGTGTTGGTTGTCTTCAATTTCGCTATTCCCCGGTTACGCTTGGCATTTTCTTTTACTGCAACGAAAATCCTCACGTAGTCGTCATTACTTTTTACAGTGAGGACTCAAACAAACGAAGATCCCACAGAAATAAAGTTTTTGGCCATATTGAAAAGGCACTCCGGATTCCTGTTCAAGATCGGAATTTAAACTACAAGCCTACCTTGAAGCTTGTGCTCGTCATCATAACATTAGGCACCTTTGTGACACTCTTCCTTTCTCCAGCAATTTATCATACAGAGCATCTATCGAACTCTCTATCCTGGTATGTTGTATTTGCTACTTGTCCTTTCATTTCTTGTTGCCAGTCTTTACTTTTTTTTGTTCATTTGGTCCAGTCGTCGCCTAGCTTACAGGAGTAGCGTTTCCATTTTCCGTTTGAAGCTTTAATTAACTACTCACTTGAGCATTTTAGTTTCCTTCAAAATGTCAGGTTCTTAATAAATTTATGTGCTGTGGACTCTCTATTGCATATTTATTTTCTTGTTGAATCACAAAAGCCAGTGTTTTCAACTAAAAATCTTTAGAACATCCAAATTTTCCTTGATGTTACATCTTGATGGCCACTGCACGCAGGCCTGCTTCTCAAGAGCGATCGATAGGAGAAGGCACTGTTGTAGATTTACGTTATTTATCACCATTAGACACCAATTGGGACCAAATATCAGACGCCTTAGATAAGCTGACAGACAAGGATACATACAAGGGGATTGGATTGTTGAACTTTAATAACAGCGAGATCAAACAATGGAAGGAGCTGATACCTGATGCCGAGCATGTTGTTCTGCATTTGGACCGTGTGTCCTTCAACACAACATGGGAATCGCTATACCCTGAATGGATTGACGAAGAGGAAGAATTTGACGTTCCTACTTGTCCTTCTCTACCCAAGATCCAATATCCAGGAAAACCACGACTTGATCTTATTGCTGTCAAGCTCCCCTGCAACAAGTCGGGGAGCTGGTCAAGAGATGCGGCCCGATTGCACCTGCAGCTCGAAGCAGCAAGACTTGCTGCATCTTCCAAAGGGTACCATCCAATGCTTGTGCTTATGGTGACTGAGTGCTTTCCGACCCCAAATCTGTTTACTTGTAAAGATCTTGTTGTACGAGAAGGGGATATTTGGCTATATCAACCAAATCTTAATAAATTGAGAGAAAAAGTACAACTTCCAGTTGGGTCATGTGAGCTTGCAGTTCCTCTCAAGGCTAAAGGTTAGACTTAAACCATGCACTTTTTACGCCGCTTTTATAGACTTCTCCCTTTGATATTCCAGTATAGTTTTTAGTGCCTTGATTTCTACTAGTCCATCACTCGATTCATTTTAATTTTTCTTTTTCTTTTTTTGCCTTCCCTTTTCCAAGATGTGTTCAAAAGTTTAGCTTACATTAGTGAATACATATATAGATACAACGACCTTCACAAGAATGTGAAGAACAGATAATTAAAATGAATAGAACATGCTTTTCTGGGTTTCTCTCTGAATGACATGAAGACGCTTATCTATTACTCAAATGACCTATAAAGATAATGAGCTGATCAAAATCATTTGGGAATCCTTTTATATAATTTTTTTTTTTAATTTTCAGTTTAACCTTTCCAATTGTTTTTCTTATTTAAGAAATGAATGAATCATGCCTTGCAAGTGAGAAGTAACCAAATATTTCATAAGCAGAGAACTTTCATTCTGAAAGAGCACACCGGGAAGCATATGCAACAATCCTACACTCTGCCCATGTATATGTTTGTGGGGCCATTGTTGCAGCACAAAGTATTCGCATGGCTGGTTCAACACGAGATCTCGTGATTCTTGTTGATGAAACAATTAGTGACTATCACCGAGGAGGGTTGGAGGCTGCCGGGTGGAAGATTCACACGATCAAAAGGATCAGGAACCCAAAAGCAGAACCAGAGGCATATAATGAGTGGAACTACAGCAAATTCCGTCTTTGGCAGCTCACAGAATATGACAAGATCATCTTTATTGATGCTGACTTGCTTATACTTAGGAATATCGATTTCCTGTTCGAGATGCCAGAAATATCAGCCACAGGAAACAATGCTACGCTGTTCAACTCAGGTGTGATGGTCATTGAACCGTCTAATTGTACCTTTCAGCTGCTAATGGATCACATCAATGAAATTGTGTCCTACAATGGTGGGGACCAAGGGTACCTCAATGAAATCTTTACATGGTGGCATAGAATTCCGAAACACATGAACTTCTTAAAACACTTTTGGGAAGGCGATGAACCGGAGAAGAAAGAGATGAAAACTCGCCTCTTTGGAGCTAATCCTCCAATCCTTTATGTCCTACACTATCTGGGTAATAAACCATGGATTTGCTTCCGGGACTACGATTGCAACTGGAACGTAGACATTTTGCAAGAGTTTGCGAGTGATGTTGCGCATAAGAGATGGTGGAAAGTGCATGATGCAATGCCAGAAAACCTGCACAAGTACTGTTTGCTTCGCTCCAAGCAGAAGGCGGCATTGGAATGGGATCGGAGGCAGGCCGAGAAAGCAAATTACACAGACGGTCACTGGAAAGTTAAGATAAAGGATAAGCGTTTGAAGATATGTTTTGAGGAATTCTGTTTCTGGGAGAGCATGTTATGGCACTGGGGCGAAAAGAACTGGACAGACAATGCCACAGTCACTCCGGCACCGCCTGCAATCACAGCATCACTCTCTTCTTCATAAATTAATTTTTTTTCCCCTTCATACTTGTACACTTAATTTAGATGGAAAAAGTTTTTTTGCATTCTTAAGACATGATAAAGAATTGTATCTTCTTATAAATTATTATTCTTATTTAATGCATTTTACACTCACTCTTGGCACAGTTTACATGCTTTGGTGCCTAGTTTCTACAATATTCCTAATGCCATGAAGTATAATCTCTGTAAACTTAGAAGCAGAAAGTTTGATTACTGAAAACTCAGCTATTAACATTCCTGTTTTCCTACAGATTACATCTCTTTTTCATTCTCTATTTATTTTTACTGAAGAGCACTTCTATTTGTCCTCTTGCTGTTTTAATTATAAAAAAGCTCTGTTTGTCACCATGTACAGAGTAAATAGAATTTTTAGCATTTTCTTTTATTAAAAGACAGAAAATAATGACCATGACAAAACGACATCGTTTAATAACGTTTAATCCCTTCCTTTTCCAAATCAAATGTCTTCAGAATTGATATTGTTTTTCATGTTTTTTGAGAGAAAAAAAAAAAAGGGAACAAAAACGAAAACAAAAGAAGAAATGAATTTGAGCACAGCTTGTTGTAGTTCAAGTTCAAGAGCCAACTGGTGGATTTCTTCATTCTCGCCAATCATCACTACTACTAGTACAAGTACAAGTACATTCTCAGTCTCAGCAACCAAATTCTCATTCCCATTTTTGCGATACCCACTTGGTTGTATTCGTATTGCTCCAGAGAAATCCCGTTTGGTTTATGTCCGCAAGAGACGCTCAGAGTCCGACCAACCAATCATCAGCCCAACCATCGTTGAAGAAGTTTCAGCCGTCGACGAAGAGGACCTTCTCTTTGACGAACTGGAAGATGATGGTAGTATCTAAAAACCCATTTCTTTCTTTCTTCAAGTTTCGATTTCATTTTGCTCAATTTTCCTTTTTTTTTTTTTGTCCATTTGGTTTCTGTTAATAAGCATATGTGGAATCTAATTTTGGGAAGGAGATCTTCTAATCAAAATTTGGTTTGGTAATAGTCTAGAGCTTGTTTGGTAGGTGAGAAAAGTGAAAGTGGGGATAGGAGTGGGAGAGATTGCTGATTAGTGCCAAGGATTTCGGGACCTGCGATTGTTTGGTAGGAGTGAAAATTGAAGAGAATAGATTGGACGAGGAATTTTAGTGTTGAAGAACCCAAATTTTAATATATTCTAGTGTAGGGATTAGAGCACAGAATTCATACCAAACATTAGGGGAAAGTGATTTATCTTTCCTTCCTATTTTCATTCCCTCTTACCAAACATAACCTTAAGATCCTCTACAAGCAATTTAAAATGCGCTTTAAGTGTTCTAAAGGCTCGTTCATTTCACCGATTTGAGTTTAGAATTTGAGTTTTATTACAGTAAAAGGCTCTCAGAAACAGTCACATCTAACTTTTTTACTACAGTAAAAAGCTCTCACACAAAGTCACATCTTAATTCAAATTAAAAACTCGAATCAACGAACTAAACGAGACCTAAGAGTATGTTTGTTTTACAAGTTGTGTATGTGAGAGAGAAACACTGTAGTAAAAAAGTTAAATTTAAATTTTTGTGAGAGAAAATACTGTAGCAATAGAACTTTAGTTGTGAAAAGAACAAGGTGTTTAACCTTTTGTTTTTCTTCATTTAATTCCTTTTATATAGAATCGAGCCCATTTAAGCATCTTGAAGTATAGTGTTCTGCTAAAATCAATGAGATTATTGATTATTTTGGGCATATGTGAGTGGTAATGATTCTTCTTTGTGGCCACTTGAGGCTAGCTCAAGTGGTTGGGTATGTGAGTGTGTGCGTGTGTACACTAAGGTTTGTTTTATTTTTTGTTAGTAAAGTGGGAGCCGTAGGCCTCACACCAATTCAAAGAAAAAAAACAAAGTTGTGTTTTCAATCCACAAGTTTGAGCATTTGATCAAAAGGTTGGAGTGCTTCATTTCTGAATGAAATTTCAAATTGTGCAGAAGATTTTGTTGACGATGACGGTGATTATTATGTTGAAGATGAGTATGAGGAAGATGATGCGGAAACTTACGTAAGATTTTTATTTTTTTTATTTTTTTTATTTTTGATGAAGTTATAAGACGTTAGTAAGTGCTAAGTTTTGAAAATAATCTGAACATTGATATGATGCCTTCCTCTTTGGGAGGTTGGGGATGGAGGGGCAGGGGGTGGAATTTCTCTTGCAGGGACATGGTGGGATAAAAAGGCATTGGAAATAGCGGAAGAAGTTTCTCTTTCATTTGACGGTGACTTGAACATATACGCCCTCAAGACATTGTCGAATTCCACCATTCGAGTGCGCATCGAGAACCTTACTAAGAAGTAAGCATCATTTTGGGATTATTCTTTGAGGTCATAATTTTTAAAGATTGTATCTTAAGTAAACACCATAGACAAGACAAGCATATGTTACGTCTTTCATTGTGCTCAATCGGGCATTTCCATTTTCCGGATACCGCCAAGTAGTAACCACCTTATTATCTGATTTATCCCTCTACAGTTTAGTTGACCCCAGTACAAGTTGTAATACTGGTATTTGTTTGTCTTCTAAAAATTTTGCCTTCTAAGCTTTGAATGAGAAATGCATTAGCTTGAATAAATGGCAGGCATTTTGAAGGAATGCCTTTTCAAAACCTGTTGAACAAGTTTTCCCTCTTTCTCTTCATGCTAATATCATCCTTTATATTATGTTGACTAAATCTGCCTACCACCGTTAAATATGTTATCCATGTCGTATGTGCTTTAAGCAACGTAGTTTGGTTATCTAGTTCCTTAATAACCTTGTACTGGTAAAGTTCCTCTGTCTCTGCAATAAAGAACTCTGACCATCTGGTTATTGTTGGACACTTACTATACACGCAGATACATAATCGCACAAATTGTACCAAAGTTTTGTTGTATTATATGAGCTTCCAGGAAGATGGTCATGATATTATGTCAAAATCTGAGCCTGCCTATTCTATCCTACTTATTATCCAGTAAACTGTGATCATACTTTTGGCCATATGATTTTTTTATGATACGGTTTTGCATGATTAGGTGTCGGGAAAAATGTGTATAGTTGAATTTTTGCCGTCAATAATAAGTTTCCTATCATTAGTGGTGAGGTGCCAATGTAAACGAATGCCTCTTTTAACCATAAACAATGACATGTCACAGGTCTGGTTCCCCCAGTATGGGAGATATAGAAGCTTTTTCTGCAGCATACCGAGCACGGTTAGACGAAGCAGAGCTTGCTAAATCCATACCCGAAAATATATGTTTGGAGGTTACTTCACCTTTTCCTATTAGTTTTTTTGTCATCGTCTCTTGCTATCTACATTCTAATTTATTTTGCATTTTGACTTGAAATAACCGTAAGTTAAGACTACAAATAGCAACAAACATTTTTTTAAGAATAAAATACTACACAGAAACCATAAATTAAGCCTAATTGTTGATAGACGTGGCTGCTTTCTATAGTTTCTGCACTTGGCTGAGTACGATTAGCACCAATCTATTTTGACCAAGTCCATAGATGAAATTTGAATATTGTTATCTACCTCATTATTTATGTATTTTACCAACCTAATATAAACAGAACGTTTCCCTGGCAGGTTTCATCTCCGGGCGTCGAAAGGGTTGTTCGGGTTCCACAAGACCTAGACCGGTTCAAAGAACGGCCAATGTACGTAAAATATGTCAGTGAGATAGCTGCAACTGGTTCATCTTCAGAAAGTGATGGTGTTTTTAGGCTTGTTTCTTTCGACTTGGAGATGAGGAGTTGCACTTGGGGTTTAGCAGATGTGAGGATAAACAGGGAGAAAGCTGGGAAAGGGAGGCCACTCAGCAAAAAACAACGAGAATGGCGTTTAGACACACCCTTCGATTCCTTGCGCTTAGTTCGGTTGTATTCTGAAATTTGACCTTTATTTCGAATATGTTTTTCCCCCTCCCTCTATAACCATGTCTGTAGAAGAAATTAAAAATATGGCGGATTATTATACATAAAAGAAACTAATACCTAAAATGAGGAAAAATTTTTACATTGTAAGTTGTAATGTACATTTGTTATTGCACATGTGAAATCTTATAAATCAATGTATCATACAAGTAATGACACATTTTTCATTGTAAGTAGTTACTTTGCAAGGATCACAAGATTCCCAGGATTTCATTTGGAAATCTTATCTCCTTGTAAAGCTTTTGCTTGACTGGTATTTTATAAGAAAATCAAGACTCGTTGGATGGTTTAGAGGAAAATCCACACTTGAGTAAAAATAGTACCGAAATCATACAACATTAGTAATTTAGACCAATATTTTTAAAATTTATTTTCCATAGAAGCGATAGAAACTCTTAAAATTTAGTCTTTCCTAAATTCATTAAATAAAATACTAATTTTTAAAAGTTCACCTAGAGCTAAAGGTGATATTGGGTAATATGTTCCACTAAGTTTTAAAGTAACTTTATGAAACCTACCTAAAAATTGATACAAAGTTTCGGCAATTTACCAATAATATGTGTCTATATGTCTTGTTCTTAATTTTGCACTGATATAGTTTGTTATAGCATCCTTATAGGGGATGCATTGTTGAAACATAATATAAATTGAGCTCCATCTTACAAGCATATCTAGGGCTAATGCTCTAGGAGTTAGATTTAAAACCTTGTAAATACATTTAAAATTGTATTATATATTAAACCGGCGCTATGTGATCCTAGAACACATTTAAAACCTAATATTCTTTTATCTAAATCGAAACCTTTAAAGTAATGTCCGGTTAAAGATAAATTGAGCTCCATCTTACAAGCATATCTAGGGCTAATGCTCTAGGAGTTAGATTTAAAACCTTATAAATACATTTAAAATTGTATTATATATTAAATCGACGCTATGTGATCCTAGAACACATTTAAAATTTAATATTCTTTTATCTAAATCGAAACCTTTCAAGTAATATCCGGTTACAGATAAATAATCTTTATTGGCAACGGCAGACCAAATGTCTATCGTTAATGCAACACAACCACTAGTAAAGTGTAAAAGGTTTATTGATGCTTATTTTTATTGTTTAAATAATTTTAACAAATCTTTCTTAAGAGTAATTTTTTTAAAAAAAAAACTGTGCATTAGGATTGTGTACAACTTTAATATATCGGTGCTAATTAGGATGCTCTATAAAACTAAGTGGTTGGTCTAATGCGGCTATCATTCGCGCAACTTCCATACGATCTACTTGCGGATCGTATTTTCAAGTGGTTAGACCACCGGTTGCACGATCAAAAAATAATTGTGTTTGGCGGAGTTCGGTTCTGCTGATTTGGCCACACTTTTGAAGACACTTTTCGGAGTGTCTTCTCAAGTGTGTTGTGCTGTGAATAGTGTCACCTTGTCATTTAGAATATCAATATTTACATTGAGATATGTGTTTAGTGTTACCGTCATTGTCAACATCCTCAATTGTGTCGAAGTAATCCCAAACTGTCGAGGTGCGCTTGCATTTCATCTTGGAGGTTGTAACACTTGCAGTAGCACTTGCACTTACCTCTCCTCTACGCCCACGACCTCCACTACATCCACCACGACTTAGATTTTTAGGTTCCTCAGTTGCTTGTGTTTGCGATTCCTGCGTAATAAATTCATTAGTAGGAAATTGCCCTTCTTCCACGTTCTGTTGGGCATCAACAAGATTATCACCATAATTAAAAGAATCCATTATAAAAAATAAGAGCGATTTGAGAGAGAGAGCTTTAGGATATTGTGTAAGTTTTTGGAAAAATTATGAGAGTGATTTTAGAGATTGAGAGAGTTTGGGCAGAAAAATGTTTGGGGGATGGTGGGGTATTTATACGGAACTTTTTGGGTTAAAAAATTGATATCTCTCTCCCCCCCCCCCAAATTCAGATCCAACGGCTATCTCTTAGAATCGGCAGGTCGGGTTCAGGCAAGTTCGGGCTGAAATCGGGCAACGGTAAAAAAAAAAGAGCTGTTGGTGATCGGGCTTTCGGGTGGCAGTTCGGGTCGGGCGCCAACGTTCAAAAAACTAGTCGTTGATTGGGCTTCGAGCTTCGGGCAAATCAGGCTGGAATTCGGGCCTTATGGAAAAAAAAAAATTGGCGGCTTTCGTTCGGCGGCTTTCCACGATGTTGATTTTTCTCGGGCAGCCCGAGCCCGAGTCCGAGAAAGTAGTTGAACGGGCGGCCTTAGGTGCCTGCCAGCCGAACCTAAAAAATTCAGGCTTCAGACATGTCCACCCACTGGCCTAAAATTCGGGCCTATGGCCCCGTTCTTTTCGCTGATTTGAGTTTAGAATTCAAGTTTTGCTACAGTAAAAAACTCTCAGAAACAATCACATCTAATTTTTTTGCTACAGTAAAAAGCTCTTACACAACATCACATCTCAACTCAAATTAAAAACTCGAATTAACGAACTGAACGGGGCCTCCTTTCTGGCGTGTCATGTGCATATTCAAAATTGGATAATTATATAAATCCTTATTTTTATTTTAGATTTCCTTCATATTCACAATTTTTTTTTTTTGAATATAGCATATTTTTTGCCGTTGGTATAGTAAACCTTTAAAAAAGTCTATCTCAACTTTTAACGACGCTGTGCTTTATTGACTCCATTTCAAGTACAAATTCAAATAAGGGAGTGCAAAGGTAGGATATGAATTTACTTACCAAATGTTAAAAAAAGCGTATTTATTTAATAGTAGGTGGACCATAATTCTTTATTATTTTTTAGTAATTTAATCGTATGACCTTTGAGAAAATGATCATATGAGCATGATGTTTAACCAACAATAAAGATTCCTTCATCGAATTATAGAGTACTTCAAATATCGGATATATAATTTTCATTATTCTTTCTCTTTTTTTTTTTTAGGAGAATCTTTAATAATCTTCTTTGATCCATTAAGTTGAATAATATTTTAAAATTTCGTTCATTTCACTGATTTGAATTTAGAATTTAAATTTTATTATAGTAAAAAGTTTTCAAAAACAGTCACATTTAATTTTTTTATTACAATAAAAAACTCTCATATAAAATTATATTTTAACTCAAATTAAAAATTTAAATCAGTGAACTAAACAGAGGACATATCAAATTGTCACGGATAGATATGCAGCAGGCCAAAGACGCTTTAATAAGAACCCTTTATATATTTGGTTTTTTTTTTTTTTTTTTTTTTTTTTTTTTGTCTTTTCCTTTATGCATTTGAGTTTGGACTAATTGATCCCTATGAGTAGATGGTGGATAATAGTAAATATCCAGCTGTTTTGTTTTTTTTTTTTTGATAATTGAAATATCCAGCTGTTACGTTGTCCCAAAGGGAACCATCACTTTTCAAAAAAGAGAAAACGGGGCCGTTCATGTTGTCTTCTTCCATGACAATTCTATCCTATGCATGCCGATATTGACTTTTACAGCATGTTTTGTAGGGTGGAAAAGAGCGAAAGAAAAAAAAAATAAAGAAAGAATTTTGAAGATAAAAATTGAATTTTAGGTTGGGTGGAAGAAAATGAGGAACAAAAGAAAAAGAAAATTTATGAAGTTTATTAATTTTGAAGCTTTTTAATTTTAGAAAGTGAAAAAGAGGAAAAAAATTTCACAAATAAATGATGTGTAAAATAATAATTTTAATCTTCGTCATTCATAATATTTTTATTTATATTTAGATATTATTATAAAATGTCTTAAATTTGACATTTTTGTTTTACTTTTCTTTCTCTTTTATACATAATATGAGAGAAAATTATTTTACTTTCTTCATCTAGATATTTTATTTTTTTTTTATTCTTCTTTTCTATCCATCCTACCAAACATAACATTAAATTAGTGGGTATGGAAAGCCATGTACCATACACACACATATATATCACTTTTATGTCACAACTCTCACACTGTTGTAATTAGTAGTGTTATTCAGCATGATGATCACATGAAAACGTTCCAATTCTAAATCTGACCGTAGAATATGAGTTGTCTCATTTTGTCCCTCATAGCTTAACATGGAAAATTTTCTTCAAGCTTATAAGAATTGGTACTCTATTATTGCGGCATGAGTTTTTTTCACACCATCGTTTTAATCACGTGTACTTGTCATTGACGACATACGATTAAAATTGATTAAAAAATTAATGCATCAATGTCGGAACTATCAAACTTATAACCTGTTATGGTTGAGTTTTGTGCCATTTTGAATTATATGAGACAAAATAAGACAACTTCTATTATTTAGGGATTAAAATCAAAATTAATCCTAAAAAGAATATAAAGTTAAAAAAATCTTGCATTGTCGTGTGACAACACTGAAATAACTGTCACACATGCAATGTTTTAATCAACTACTCGTGTTATTGTTTTTTTCCCGATATCTTTGGAACAATAGGTAATCAATCAAAAGTTAATGATGGTAATTAGTATCTTTCTAAAATAAAAGTTATGATTTAGCTCAATACGTGACCTAGTAGTAGTAGCAGCGAAGCCCTAATTGGCTTAGAACATGAAGCAGCTTTCTGCACAAAAAGTGCTAAAAGTAAAGTTTGGTTGTCTTTGCTTGTAATAATTTCTATGGTTAGGTAAGATTTTGATTTAGATTCTTCTGCTCACAGTGCTTATCTTTACTCTTATCAGTTCAAAACAAAAAAGTTGACTAATCCTCAATTTCAAATTTAGCTTCTTTTTTTTTCCCCTTTCTTTCTTCAAATTTCTGCTGAAATTTCAAAGTGAAATTAATGAATGGAAGAGTAAAAGTTAAAGAGAAACTACCAACTTAAGTGACGTTTAGTTTATAAATTTATAATTATAGTTTATGATTTTAATTTTTAAAATTTAAATTTTTAATGAGATAAAACATTATTGTAAAATTACGAACTATAATCTTAAACCATACAGAATTATTGAAACAAACATCACTTTAAAAATTTATAAGACGTAGAAAATAGGATGTCCTATATATAAAAATACTATTGAAAGAAATCACCGAAAAATCTTAAAATAATACTAACTGACTTCATAAATCAAGGGGTAAATACAATAATCTATACTACTTACCTGGTATTATCTAAACAAATTGCCAAAGTAACAATATTAAGAAAAATACATAATAAAATTTGAAAATATCTTTTTCATATTCTACCTGTGATGGTATCTGATACATTGATGGAGTGCGAGTCGAAGCTCACTTTTTGTCTTGATTCTCATTAACATTTTTATTTTTCTGTTCTTGTTCGGAAAGGATTATAATTCTTATTTCAAAAAAAAAAAAAAAGAAAGGATATAATTGTTCTCATTGTTTATACTATTTATTGAGATCCAATCAAAGCACTGTGTCATGATTATCAGTGACCAACTTCGAGCCATGCCATTGGCGCAAACCAGGTCCGGGCGTGCATTTCAATGAAAGATTTGAGTTCCATATAACCGTTTGTGCTCCCCACAATCATTATATCACAATGAAAGATTCATTCTCTCTTTTCGGTGTTCAACTTTTTTTTTTTGTTTTTTTTTTAATATACATTTACAATCGTTTTGTCTTGCTTTGCTAATATTGTCATGCAATTTTCAACAAAGACACTGGATTTTATTTATTTATTATTATTATTATTTGTGCTTGAACATCAGGACTTTTGATTAAAACTTGGGTGGTTGATTCTTCTTGAGATGTATGAATTTCTTTAAGTTTTCTCTTGCAATGATTGAGAAAATTCTAAAATTTAATAAATTTTTTTTATAATTGGATAATTTTACCCTAATATTACAAGTACGGGTGTTGCACTTGTGTACCAACTCATTACATTTAATTTTATTGATAGATGCATCAACTCATTATTAATTAATGTAATAGTCTTTTAAACACCTACTAATAAAATTAGTACACTTTATAAATACGCTAGATGAAAATAACTCTATTAAATGTCGAGTGAGATTTTGTCATATCATTAGCATAAAAAAGGAAAAAAAAAAAAGAAAATAAAGGAGTGGACTGTTAATTTCTTCGAGTAATGACTAATTGCAACATAAATCCCCTTTTTCAACAAAAAAAAAAAATCAAAAGAAAAAAAAATGCCATGTTATTTTCCAACATCTTTCTCTATGTTTGTATATATACAATGATAGCTAGTATAATGTATATGCCTGCAGAGTAACACCAAAATTTACCTAACCCTTCCCCAGTTGCATCCTGCAATTTCTCAACGTCTCTCTCTCTCTCTCCCTCTCTCTCTGCTCTTAAAAAAAATGCTATAATTGGATCACGTCCTTGGCTGGATCTAATATTTTAAGCACCCTTTTGGCTAAAGCCACCCAGAATTCACGTGCCTTTGAAACAGAAATTTGTTTCAACAAAAAAGATATATAGTAAGTAAGATAAGATAAACTTTGCAGAGCATTATTATATTTTAATATTTATATGTATATATACAGGGAAGTTCTCAAGGAATAATGGTGGTGAATTAGAGAATTTAGAAGGGCAATTTCTTCTTTTTTGTTTTTTCTTTTGAGAGGAATCTTTGGGATTCCCTGACAGACAATGGGAAATAAGGCTTGGTTTTCAGTGGTGGTGGGATTTGTGTGGTTGATTTTGGTCAATGTTAATAATGTTGGGGCTTACCCAGTTGAGGATCTGGTAGTGAAATTGCCTGGCCAGCCAAAAGTAAGCTTCAGTCAATATGCTGGTTATGTTGATGTTGATTTCAATGCTGGGAGGAGCTTGTTTTACTACTTTGTTGAAGCTGACAATGAGCCTCACAAGAAGCCCCTAACTCTCTGGCTCAATGGAGGTTTGCTTCTTTTTTTTTTTTTTTAAATTAAGAATCAGTTGGAAAGATTTTGACTTGAGTTTTGGACCATAATGTTGGGTACTTCTTCTTGGTTTGAGTTCACTTTTTTTCTTTTTTTTTTTTTCTGTTTTGTAACATCCTTGTTCAATAGAGTTTCTCATACTGGGCAAGTGTGAGTTTTTCAGGTTTTCATGAGAAAACTGCGATTTCAGTTAATGGGTTTTCTTGATCCATTTTGCATTTGGTGTCTCTTTTTTTATTCATTTTAAATTTTTTTCTTTTAGATTCACCTTCTCATTCTTCTTCTTCTTCTTCTTCTTCTTCTTCTTCTTCTTCTAATTTGTTTCTGAAATGTTCATTTTCCCAATGCAATTGTGTTCTATTCTCTGTATCTTTTAAAGTTTGTGCCTTTTTTCCCCCCTATTCATCTCTAGTACACTTGGGGCTTTATTTTATTCCAACTGCATCTCAAAGCATCTGAGAAGTGAGAAATGAGAATCAGTCAAAGTGATGTTTAGTAGAGGGATTCGTTTCCTGATGCGAATCATGATTCGTGGTTCGTTACAGTGTTTTTTCTCACAAAAAATTCACGTAAATTGAAAATAGTTCGAATCACATTGTTTGAATCCTCCAACCGAACGTCTTTCGAATTTTGAATGTACGGATATAGTTATTTATTTATATACTATATGCCACTGATACCCAAAAGTAAATTTCTTTTTTAAAAAAAAACTTTGAATTATTTGAAAATTTGATGTGTTTTTCCCTTTATTATAATTCCCCTGGCCTGTACTCGAGCAGATAAGCAAATTTTTGTAGGTGCTAAACTTGTGCATTGAGACGTCAGGTGAAAATCTGATAAGAATTCCACCAATATTCTGTTGCCCATTTGTTTCCAGAAAATGGACGTATATTCATAGGAGAATTCTTTGGAACAAAGTATAAACAAAAAAATAAATAAATAAATTCATATTCTGCATCATCAAGTTCCATTAAACATGCATACTTTGCCGTGATTTTGTTGTCCAGAACTACTTAATACTAATAAGATAAATTTTTATACTCTACCGTAGAATTCTTGAAAAAAAAAATTATGAACTTTTCACCCAGAAAGAATATAAGCAATAAGTACAGCTTGTTTGAATGAGAAAATCACAATATGGTCTCTCTATCTCTCTTGCATAACAAATAAGGTCTGTTGATGTAGCAACTGACTTGAACTTAAATGTTTTGTCCATTAGAGGACCTAGCTAGTTATAAGAAATGTGATTACACTACCCTTGACATTGAAATCTCTAAGCCTAAATAGTGAGATATAGTTACTTCCATGTTCAGGTCCAGGGTGTTCCTCTGTTGGTGGAGGCGCCTTCACAGAATTGGGTCCATTTTATCCGACTGGTGATGGTCGAGGCCTTCACAGAAATTCAATGTCATGGAACAGAGGTATTATAATGAAGATCAATGTTTTGGACATCTTTTGTCTTCCTTTCCAATGAGGAGTACAAGTAATATTGAAAAGTAACAATGTTTTACTTTCTTTGGTTTTCTTCTGCAGCATCAAATCTCCTTTTTGTTGAGTCTCCTGCTGGTGTTGGATGGTCATACTCAAACACCACTTCAGATTATAATTCCGGGGACGCTGCTGCGGGTAAAAGCGAAAATCTTACAACCCTTTGTCACTATTGTCTGTCGTTCAATTAAACTGTAGAATGTGATAACTTTTCTCGGGGTCTGGTTACTTCAATCTCAAAGTTTTGATTTCTTGCTTTTGGCAGCCAATGATATGCGCGAGTTCATGCTGAAGTGGTTAGAGAAATTTCCGACTTATAAGTCTAGAGATTTGTTTCTTACTGGAGAAAGCTATGCAGGTTTGGCAACTAGTTAGCAATGTTCCCAATTTCATATTATCTAGAAATGACGAACGGAAAAAAAAAAGAAATAAAAAAAAGGAAAGGTTTATTCTTCGAAGATATATCCCAATTATCAAGTGTATAGCATACATTATTGAGCTCATTTGAAATGCTTGTTTTATTCTCTATTGTAAATGCAAGCAATTTTGTGAATTGTTTTCTTTTGCTTCTCTTCTTTTCTCTTTTATTTACTCTATTATTTTGCTTATTTTTTACAGGGCACTATATACCTCAATTAGCTATTGCTTTATTGGATTACAATGAACATTCAACTGGTTTCAAGTTCAATCTAAAAGGAGTCGCCGTAAGACAACATTGAATGCCCTATTATATGGTTCAGCTTTAATTGGTGTATGCTTGTTTCATAGGTTTTAAACAATTGATGTTTAAACCTTTTTTGCTGCAGTGTTTTCTGTACAAAAATTTAAACAAATTTTAATTTCTGTTCAAACTTTATGTTCAGACATATAAACCAAATGGGCCATATAACACACAATAAGTTTCCCCATCTTCTTTTTGATAACATATTCCTCATATATGAACAAATTCATCTTTTATTTTATTTTATTTTATTTTTATAATAATAATATCCTGATGGCTTCTGTTGTTAGATTGGGAATCCACTCCTAAGACTTGACCGGGATATTCCTGCTTCATACGAATTCTTTTGGTCACATGGAATGATTTCTGATGAGCTTGGACTTACAATCATGAATGAATGCGATTTTGATGATTATTCCCTTGAAACTCCACACAATGTAACCGAGTCATGCACCAATGCCACAACTGAAGCGAACCAAATAGTTGGTGACTACATAGACCAGTACGACGTCATCCTAGATGTTTGTTATCCGTCCATTGTCGAGCAAGAGCTGAGGCTGCGTAAACTGGTATAATATCCTCCATGACTCTTTTCACTAACAACGTTTTCCTGCTGTAGTATCATCTTTCTCACCGTCAGATCGAATTCTGTTTTTATGTCTTCTGCAGGCTACTAAGATAAGTCTCGGTGTTGATGTGTGTATGAGTTACGAAAGGCGTTTCTATTTCAACCTTCCCGAGGTTCAGCATGCTCTTCACGCGAATCGGACAAAGTTACCTTATCCTTGGAGCATGTGTAGTCGGTAACTGATGTTCACATCTAAATCCTAATTTACAAGATGTACTACGTAAAAAAAACAAATTTTGACTGCTTTTCAAGAAAAAAGTGTAAGCATAGTGCTATGTACTACTGCTTTTCAATATTTTGTCCACTTTTATGTGCTATAAATCCCTTGAATACGATGCTAGTTTTTTATGTCAATAAACTTATTTTGCCAATATAAAGATTCAATTTAGAAACAACACTCTTGACAAATTAGTACTTGAGCGTACTATTATAAAGCATAACCAATATTCACGTTTCATGTTTTGGACAGAGTTTTAAATTATAATGAAACTGATGGTAACATAAACATTCTGCCCTTGCTCAAAAGGATAGTTCAAAATCACATACCAGTTTGGGTTTTCAGGTAATATTTATTTCTCTGTCAAAGAAAAAATAGACGTCTCAAAAGTTCATCTAATTCACCATTTCTATCCACTACTAACATGATTTGATTACCTACCAATCACAGTGGAGACCAAGATTCCGTTGTGCCATTGCTGGGATCCCGGACCCTCATCCGCGAACTAGCACACGAGCTAAAATTCAAGATCACGGTCCCATATGGAGCTTGGTTTCACAAAGGCCAGGTGCTTGAAAACCATTTTCCATTTTGTATTTTGTATTTCCGAGTTCAAGCATAAACTATTCAATCTATTCTTCACTACTGGTAATGCATTGTCACATGTTTGGTGACACTGCTGTGTGACAGTCCGATATATATGTAGTGATTACATCGCTAATTGTGATAAATAGCATTTTTGTAATTGATATGACTGCTAGTACTAATGTGTCGTCGTTTTTTCATTTTTCGATAGGTCGGAGGTTGGGCTACCGAATACGGAAACCTACTGACTTTTGCCACAGTGAGGGGTGCTTCTCATATGGTGCCATTTGCACAACCTTCAAGAGCATTGCATCTGTTCAGCTCATTTGTGCATGGCCGGAGGTTGCCAAACAACACACGTCCTTCAATTGACGATTGACAAAAGACTTAAGATGCAGAGACACAACTTTAGTAATTGGTAGTATTTTTTGTGATTTTTTTTTTTTTTTTTTTCCAAAAGATATAGAATTTTGCTCTTCATAGGTCAATAAGGAATATGGTTACTGGTGATTAGTTTTCAGGAAATGTGATTGAAAGAAAAATTGGAAAACAGTTCCAATTATATCATCCAACAGAGGTAGTTTGATTTAGGAATTTCCACATTATTCTTTATGCTGAGAGACAGATTAACCATATTTGTTCACAAGCTCTTTTTGCTTGTAGAAAATTGAAGAAGCATTTTAATTTATGTTTTATGAAACATGTGGTTCATTCTAATGTTTCGGAGTCTGATTCACGACATTAATATCGGACATTTCTGATTGTTTAATTTCAATACTCTTAGTTCATAAGTATATATATCGTTTTTCTAACGTATTTGTTGTTAATTGTGTTGTCTCCAAACTACACATAATATTCTATTTATCGCTGTTTTCACAATCAGAATCGTGTATTGAAATATAACACACAAAAAATATGTACCATGTACAGTTGTTGCATAAAACGTGGAGATGATTAAAAAATGAGAGAAATTAGGAAAATTGCTGTTTTTTGACTACTTTTTTAATAAATGGCGGAGCTTTTTATTTTTTAAATAAGTGATTGAATTTTTTTTATTTTAGCAAAATGGTTTTTTTTTTTTGGTAATCAATCAATAATGATTATCCGGTGGTTAATCAATGATTGACCTATGCACTATTATAATTTATCATTAATAAATATTTAATTATTGTTTAAAATTAATTAATTACTAACAGTTAATTATTTACTAATATGGATTAATAATGAAAAATCACAGAATCAACAGTAATAACTTAAATCAATCAATGATTGATTATTAAGTTAATGAATGATTGAGTATTTAGTTAATAAAAGAAACGATCATTTTACTAATTTTATAAAACTTCAGCTATTTTTTAAAAATCCTTAAAAAAGGGCCATTTGCTTTTATATCCATTAAAATAATAACTATGTAATTTTACTATTTTTGAAATATTTCAAAAAGAAAAAATTTATATATTTGAACTCTACTCTTATAAATTTTCTATGTATTGTAATTTTTGCTTAGGATGGTTGTATATTTAAACAATTACTCTAATATATGCCTGCGGGCGCATTAGTATTGTACTGTAATCTTTTTTCTTTTTGGTTTGGAGGAAGCATTAGATATATATATATATATTTAAATTTTGGCACTCACTTGTTTGGATTATGTTATTTACTAATTCAACAGAATTGTCCTTTTAACAGTCAAGAATTAGGTCAATATTTATTTTACAAAATAAAAGATTTTAACTTGCGAACACATAATACTTATTTTTAATACTTTTGACATTGTTGCTAAAACGCCAAGTTATTGCAAATAATTTTGGGTTGTTTTTTAAGATTTTTGAGTTAAGGTGATTTGAGCGATGATTTTGAATTTAATTTGAGTTATAACTTGAGTTGAAGTTGTAACTTGAGTTGAAGTTGTAACTTGAGTTTGTGTTTAGATGTGCACATTGGAGTTATGATTTAAATTGAGAATCTTTTTGAGTTTGTGTTTGAGTTTGTCAAAACTTAAATTTATATTTATATACTATTTTAATAAAAATTCAATGGTGATGAAAAATTTTAATAGAGTATATAGATGGGATTTTATTCGTCTTTTCGTTGTGAATGCATAGAAAAAAAAATCATCTCAATCAGAATTAAAATAAAAAAGTTATGATATTTTTAAGAATAAAAAAAATATTATTTCATTAGCTTGAGTTCGAGTTTATGAACTCGAATTGAAAGGGAAACTTGAACTCGAATTTAATCATAAACTTGAGTTCAAACTCAAATTTAAATTCGAGTTCAAATTTAAATTTTACAAAAGAATATAAACTTAAATAAAGTTGTAACTCGAGGTTAAATTTTTCCTGAATCTCTTACTAAAAGAATAATCTCTTAAAATACTCTCCGTACATTTATGGTACCCATTTTGTGGGTCCTTATTTTGTCGTAGTAGTCTAAATGTAGGTTTACATTAACATCATTTAAACAAATCATTGATCAACAATTTGTACTTATTTCAACACATAAGGAAACATTATCAAAGAAGGGTCAACATTCTTGGAAATTATTTGGTAAAGCTCATTTTTTCCGTCAAAACGAGGATTTTTTTTTTAATCCATAAACAGAGGCATATAATTATAGTTTTTAATATTATGGGTTGGATCTTTTTAAGCAAATGGATATATATTTGTTGGGTCAGATCAGAGTTTACGCACAGAACAAAGAGGGAGGACAAAAAACCAACAGGCTCACGTGATCTCGGCTCATTGAGCCAAGTATTGCATTACACGTCAGCTCTTTCATGACTCTTCACAGTTTACAGCCAATAATCTTCTTACACGTAAAGTAAACTTTCAAGACAATATTGTACTGTCGTAGACAATCCTAACTTCTATTTCTTTATATTGAAGTTCACCGACAAAAGTAGTTCGCAAATAACAGCTATAAACATGAAACCATTTTCTGTTGGGAAGTCATGTGCTTCAGTACAACAGTCTTTTTAATTTTCCAACTGAAGTATGTTTCACTTTCAACGATGCCAATAACACAAGATATCTCATTAAATGACGCATATGCCCTCATCGTTCTCCTCTATTTACCCCCCTGAGGCCACCAACTTCCGGACAGTGAATCCGTAAGAACCACTCTTTGCTTTGTGCACTCTTTGCTTTGTGCACACGTTTTGTTATTAGATTTGTTCACTTTGTGGGCCCTTTTCAAATCCTTAATTTTGAAGCTTTTTCTTGAGATGGGTGGTAAAATGATCTTTCTTTAATCAAATAGTACAGAGATTTATGCTAGTGTTTGATTTAGCTTTCTTTCTTTCTTTTTCTTTTTTTCTTTGGTTAGCTTGAGTTTTAACTTTTAATGGCAGTTTCTGTTCCGGGTTTTTATGTATGCAAGCAATGGAGATAATGAGGAAGCTCAATCAGGACTTATTTGGAAATCTGAGGATTTTCTGCACAAGGGTTGTGAGCCTTGGGAATGGAATTGTAAGGAGATATTGTAAACTCTGGGATTTTCAGTCTCTCAATGTAGCTGTTGGAATTGGATCATTGTTGTTCTGCCTTTTCGCATTGGTGTGTGTGTATTTCTATTTGTTTCCCAGTCTTAGTCCTGTTAGGCATAGTTATGAGATTGTTTCTACGCCCAGAAATGGTTCTATTTCGGCTGAGAAATGCAATGTCTTTGAAGGAAAATGGATTCAAGATGAAAGTTACCCTTTGTACAATGCCTCACAATGTCCGTTCGCGGAACGAGGATTTAGTTGCTTGGCTAATGGTAGGAGAGATAGAGGTTACACAAAATGGAGGTGGAAGCCGAAAAAATGCGATATTCCGAGGCTTGATGTGCAGAAAATTCTCGGAAAGCTTTATGGGAAGAGAGTGGTTTTTGTTGGTGATTCATTGAGCAGAACTCAATGGGAGTCTTTGATATGTATGCTTATGACTGGTGTGGATGACAAGAGGAGTGTTTATGAAGTGAATGGAAACAAAATCACCAAACAGATTAGATTTTTGGGAGTAAGGTTTAGCACTTATAATCTTAGGATCGACTTTTATCGGTCGGTTTTCTTGGTGCGGCCTAGTTCAGTGCCTAGGCGTGCGCCGAAGAGGGTTAAATCGACTCTTAGACTTGACCTCATGGATGACATTAGCAAAGAATGGATTGATTCTGATGTTTTAGTATTCAATTCCGGGCACTGGTGGACACCTACTAAGCTTTTCGAAATGTGAGTTTTCTACCTCTCTGAGCATCATTTTCATGGGCTATGACATTTTTAGTTTTCATTTAGACTAGTCTTGGTTCTATGTATATGTATTGTACATTGGCCAAGATTTTATATGCTTGTTTTTTTTTATTTTATTTTTTATTTTTTTATTTTTTTATTTTTTTTACCTATGAACTCATTCATATTCTTTTTAGTTTTTCAAACGCACATCATTCTTAGCAAGAAATTGGTTTCAACAACTGTTTATTTTTAGAATATTTCAAGGGATTAAGCACTGAATCGTGTCTCAAGGCCACTGCATTTCGGGATTTAGTGAAGCCTTCTAGTGTTCACATTAGCGTTTTATTCAAAAGATGTAAAAGGAAAACAAAAATTCCTAAGCTCTGTTGTGACTTTTGCTAATTTGCTTTAATTATATATGTTGGAAATTTCATAAAAACTTGGCATTTTTTAAGAAAATACTCGTACGTGAATAATTGCTTAGAAAAAACTCTTTCATGATAGTAATTGCTCCTGGCTCGCAATATACTTTCTAGCTGAGCATTTTAGTCTATATCTTCTCTGACACTGCCTTCGGAAAAAAAAAAAAAAATTGTTTTACTAGCGAACCCTTGCTCCAAAACATGAATACTCTGGATTTAAGGACTGATAGAAGTAGGAGCTCCTCTAGACATATTTATGCTTGAAACCGAACTTGAGCAAGAGTTGAGTCAAACATTTATTTACTTGGTAAACCATTGTAGAACATGTTGAAAGAGGGAAATATCAATGCGTGGTTCTGCATGCTATTTATCCCTCATTACTGAACTTCCTAGAGAGCACTTGTGGTTAGAATGTAGTACAAGAAATATGCAGGATGTCTAGATTCTCGACCTCCCTCTTTCAATGCATGTTGTAATGCATCTTATTGACACTAATCCAGCTATTATTCTGTGTTCTGTCACTTCACGACAATTATTTCACTATCATGTTATTGACACGTGATATTAGAATACCATGTTTGTCGTTGTTGTTGAGTCCTTGCAAAAGTTCTTGGAGTATTTGAGATTACTGCATTACAGACCATATATGTTAGGAGAAGGAGGATTTTAAGGATTTTGTTGAGTGCGCTTCTAACTTACTCTGCAATAGACAGGGGCTGCTATTTTCAAGTGGGTAAATCACTGAAGCTCGGAATGCCTATCAATACTGCCTTCAGAAAAGCATTGGACACTTGGGCCTACTGGGTTGAGAATATGGTCAACACAAACAGAACAAGTGTGTTCTTTCGAACTTTTGAATCATCGCACTGGGGGTAGGTCCCGCACCTTGAGATTTATTTACACAATAGATGCTGACTATTTTCGTCAAATATTTCTTGTTCATTTGTTTTTCTCTTTCATTTGTGGTGTTATGCACATTAGTTCCCCAATGCAGATGTTATCCTGAACCTTGATTTAGGATAGTACAAAAGAAAGAGGGAGACAAAAATGTAAGAGGAATTAGAGAAGACAAAGAATCTAGAATTTGGAGAGAGAAGGGTATGAACAGTAGAGAGGAAATCTGAATATTCAATGTCATTGATCAAGTCTTAAGTCTAAATTTGAAATGGCAATCTTTTACCCCTTTCGTAAGGAACAAAATAACAAGAAAGAAAAACAAACACAAATCGGTATCAATAAAAAGAAACTTACGAAATAGGTTTGGGAAACTTATTCAAACTTGATTAAAAATTTGAGTGAACTAAGCATAAAACTACTTTATCTATGTATTGATCTTCCTCATAGTCCATTCATGTTCCTCTTCACAGTTCTTAACCTGTTTAGCCTCTGGCTTATAAATGCTAGAATTTTTGGGCTTTTAGATGAAATTTTATTAAGAGCAAACGGAGCAGCAGCAGCAGAAAAGAAAAATCTAGTTTATACATATAGGGTTGTCTTTGGTCCTTTGTGAAGGACCACCCTACACCGTAACATATTAAAATGAGAGGTATAACATCACATTATCTATTACACCTTTAGAGTCGTTGTTACACAAAATAAATGTCATCTTACACTTCTTACTTTTACATGTTACAGTATAAGACGGTCCTTCATGAATGACTTGCATATATATAAGCAGCAAAAGTTATAAGTCGCAAAATCTAATTTGTCAAAATAACCTGTAAAAACTGTATTGGTGTTTGCGCAAAGTTCCTTTATACACTCCTATCAGGCATACCACTTGTACTGTGGTATGCAAGGACTTTAGGGGCCTCCGAAAGTTATACCAAACAGGCCCTCTGTCCTATTTTCTGATTAGAGTAGATGACTCGCTTTAGTAGGGATGAAGACAGATCTTTGCAAGCTGTTATTTAGGATCCAAAACTGAAAAAAAAAAAAGAAGAAAAATTTATGAGTTTTCTGTTACACCATGTTAACCAAGCATAACTTCCATCTTCTACTTTTGTCATATTCTTTTGCATTCATTTCGTCTGAGTTTCCTCAGGAACCTGAGCAAATGCACGAATTCTTTAATTTCAAGACTTTAAACTTGTGCTTGTATACATACCAGGGGAAAGAATCGTAATACTTGCAAAGTGAATAGGCGTCCTTGGTCTAGGACCAACGGGCGTGACCGGAGCAAGATTTCAGACAACATAGTAAAGGTCGTGAAGCAAATGAAAGTACCTGTTAACCTTCTGCACGTCACACGGATGGGGGCGTTCCGGAGTGACGGGCATGTGGGCACTTGGGGTGATAATCCATCCGTGCCGGATTGTAGCCATTGGTGTCTACCTGGTGTGCCTGATGTGTGGAATGAAATTCTCTTGTCAAGTCTGCTAAATGGCTAAAGTCACTTCCCAGGAGGATATGAAGTGAAAAGGGTCTAACTTGTAAGATAATCTCCTCACGATCCATATCTTGTGGAATAATTATTTACATGAGGAAAACATGGTTTGAAGTCATTCTAGACGAAGCCATTTTTTGAAGAAAATGAAAACAAAGGCACACATAATGGCCTTGATGGTAAAAGGAGAACATCAGAGATTTCGCAATTTGACTTGCATATCATTTTTGTGGTTCATTAAGTAAACATGTAAACAGATGTGATAATACATTGAGCTTTTCGAGGTTGTATATACAATAGCTGCCTCATATAATATATTATTTTTTCTTATGATAAATAAACGTGTTGAAAATTACATTGTTATGTTTCTTTCTCTATTTACATTGGCGGTGTTTTCTACTTTTATTTGTAAGCTTATATGTGCAAAATTCTTTGGTTGAATTAATCTATTATATATTAATACGGATTTATAGTGGCCTACTTATGAGTATTAACTCATTCACCTTGTTTGAAGGAAATTATACGTCACGGCAAAAAAAAAAAAAAAAAAAGGAAGCTTTGAGAAGTGTTTTCCAATCCAAATAACCTATGAGAAATCTTAGCATGGGAGTCAAGTCACTAAAAACCCGTTTGAAATAAATTTTCATACTCCAAGATTGGCCTAAAACTTCCCTTAATCCCTATAAATAGACAGCCAAATTTCACCACACAAGAACTAAAATCATTTCAAAATACCTTTTTTTTTTTTTTTTTTTTTTGTGAGCTAATTAGAGACACACCAAAATGGCATTGAATCATCCAACAATTGATGTAATTGTGTTCGTCTCACTTGGTGGCGTTCTCTTCCTCGCATTCTTCGCAGCCGCTCTCTTCTTCCTCTTTACGAAGACGAAGAAGAAGACTGTACAAGAAACCGAAATCGTTCACCTCGACGAGCATAAGAAGATAAAGGGGGCCGTTGTGGAAGGCCCCCACGGAGTAATAGACACTGTAGCGTTATCAGTTGAGGATGACATTCATATCGACAAAGATATAAAGAGGAACGAGAAGGTTGGTGAAGGCCATGCTTCCACTTCTGGTTCTAATCAGCCCCATCTTGAACACAAGGCTTCATTATGATCTTGTGCGTCTTTCATTCCATAGGGTTGAACCAAAAACCAATAAATTCAAATATGTGTTGGAACATAAAACCATATGTTAATTGTTTCATGCGTTATCCATCACAATAATATACTTGTATGGAACTTGTCGTGAATTGCAGTTGAGATTTGTCTTCCAAATATTTTCTTCATTAAAAGGTTTATTTTTTTAATATATATAGCAAGTAATTAAAAAAAAAAAAAAAGGAATAGTGGGAATTCTAAGTAGATCACCTAGTATTTACCAAAACTCAAAGGGGTCTAAAAACAAAAGCACTTTGTAATACTAAAAAAAAAAAGGGGACAAAAAAGGGCATTTTCTTTCCCAAATAAAAAGAAAAAACACATGCTATAATTTTGTTTCCCCTCTGAAGTTTTAAGTACCCTAAATTCAATATTTTTTTTTTTTTGAAAAGCCCACAATTAAGTTCCTCTCCTTCACAAAACGACCTCCTTGTTGAAAATCCAACTAAACTTGACGCTATGCGGCTCCATCTTCCTCGCGCGCTCATCGGCTCGCTCTTGCAGCTTCCTGATCCTCGGCGCCAACCCGCACACAAAGTCCTGTGCACCTCTCGCCTCGGCCGTCAACCCCTCTAGCTTCTCCAACTTCCACCGTCCGATCAAGAACTCCAGAATATCGGCGTAGTCGTCAGCAGTGTAGACGCCGAGCCGCTGAGCCACCGCCGAGAAGTGCTCGAATAGCTTGGGATCGTGCCCATCGTACATAAGGTGGGCCGGCATCGTGATCTTCTTCCGCATCATGTCGGCGATGGCCAGCATTGCGCCGCTGGGATCCACTTCCAGAAGCTTTTCGACGATCTTCGCGTAGGCGTTCTCGTGGCGCTTCTCGTCGGCTGCGATGGTCCCGCATACGCGCGCCAGCACTGGATCGCCGCCTTCCTTCGCCATTCGGGCGGTGTTGCCATGTGACACGAACGTAGCCCGCTCCTGAAACGATGTGTACACGAAGCCCAAGTATGGGTTGTTTTCTGTTCCTGGGTCCTGTTGACAAGCCCAAGTCATTATTGCAACGACCGAATCACGAAAAACGACATCAAAGCATGAAAACTATGAACTATCATTACCAATGCCATTTACCACTACGCATTACGCAAAGATTAGCAGGCGATACAAGTTTCCCGGCTAAATCCAACTCAAGACGATACCAATCTCAAAAACGACAATAAAATATGAAAACGTGTCCAAAGCAATAATCGACGACAGCAAGCCAGGAGTACCACAGGAAGCGCAAATTCTAGCCTCTCAAAGTGAAACGACAGTCGAAAACAAAAACGACAAAACGAAATGCAATAGGATCAGCAATCAATGAAACGACGTAAATAACTTACCATGCCTGCACCAATAAGGTGCTGGACAGTTCGCTCAATCATGAGCATGTCAACCCGACCAGACAGGTACAGATACGTGCGAAGCAAATCGCCGTGACGGTTCTCCTCGGCGGTCCAGGACCGTGTCCATTGGGCCCATGGGCTTGGGCTAGCCCCAGTCTCGTCCTTAACGCCGTCCAGGGTGTTTATCATGGTCTGGTACGTAGGCAACGCGTCCTCCGTGATCATGTCCCCCACAAGCACGACAAAAAACTCATCTGGAAGCTCAGCCGTCCGATCGCGCAACTCCCGAACCTGATCGAAGAACTCTTCGGATGACGCCGTTGCGTCGGGCAGGAATTCATTGGGCTGCCAGGACTGGCCCACGGGCTTCAGCAGTGGGAGGACCCATTCCGAGGCCCAGCCCTCTAAAGACTTGAAAACCTCAACTTTCTCCGGCGGCATGGAGTGAGTCCTTAGCGGCCGCGTTTGCACGGCCACGGCCGAAATTGTTGCTGAAGCCGGCGGAGGCGGTAGCCGGAATCTCATGGTGGGCTTTGGTGGGCCCAGTTGGTACTGGGTAGTTGGGCTTTGGACAAGTGGGGCCCATGAAGGATTTCTCCCGCCAAGGAATCGAGAGGCCTGCATGGTTCGTGTTTTTGACCTTTTCTATTTGTGTATTTTCTTCTTTTTTTTATTTATTCAGTCACTGATCAGGGAGCAGTGGCCTGTGATATTTATAAGTAGGGAGGGTTATTAATTCGACCATTCTTTTGCGTGTAATTACGAGAATGCCAATTCAGTTGGATTCGTTTTAATTTCCTGTTTAAGTGAATTGACCAGATTGACCTCTCGCTAACTTGTTATAACATGATGGTGATATTGGTAAAAATGTGGTCGAAGGGTAATAAAGTCCTTTGATAACTTGTACGGTCAAGGTGGTTGGGACTAATAAGAATGGGGATGTTGTGGGCTTCAGCAAAACCAGGGGTGCAGTGGTTTTCCACAGACACGAGAGAGAGAGAGAGAGAGTGGTTTTCCAAAGACACGAGAGAGAGAGAGAGAGAGTGGTTTTCCAAAGACACGAGAGAGAGAGAGAGCTGTTTTCTGTGGGTTCAAAACGAGCAAGAAATATAATGGATTCTGTTTGGCATGTGGCGGATTTGAAATTACAATTGACACGACGACGCATGCATTACTTTGGTATCATCGAAGTAAAAAGGATTTCAGATAGTATAGATTAAATTAGTAGAAAAAACCATCTGCCTTTAAATCACTTTATGATACTTTTCAATAAGTAGTCATGTATTACAAACAGTTATATACGTATTTTTTAATGGGACAGTTCCAAGTTCAATAAGTAGTCATGTATCTTTGCTTTTTCGTATGCTCATATTACATAATTCACAAATTTGTATAATACTTAATTTACTTAAGCCTAACACATCTTGTTACATATATTAGTCTATATTTATTGACTGTTACACTAAAGTAAACTCAGTAATACAAAAGCCTATGAAAAGAAAAATTGTCAGATTAATTGGAGACAATTCCAATATTTTCAAACTAAACAATCAAATCCTGTACTTCTTTAAATATGAGTAAAAATATTCTTGTAGATAACACAAGTACATCTCTCCAATCAAATTTTGTATTCCTTCAAAACATGAGTAAGAATACTTATTTAGATAGCATAAATACATCTCTCTCACCCGCTCACTCTCTCTCTATCTCTCTTGTCCGTTAAGAAGATCTCTAATGCAGTGTTATAATTAAAGTGTCATGATTATAAATTTAATATTTAAGTGCAAAAAAATAAGTAAATTTCTTATCAAGTATAACATATGAGAAATTTAGCATTCAATTGCTATTGGTTGAAATGTTTACTTTTTTCATGTAATCAATGCAGCTTTTGCATTTTCTAATTAAAAAAGTTTACTTTTATAACTTCTAAAGTTTAATAATTATAAGAAAAAATAGATTTAGCGTTTTAAATAGTATTATGCATTAAAATAAAAATAAAAATAACATATCATATTATACTTTCTGATGCTAAATAAACAATTGGCATTAACAAATGCATCGGAGATAATCTAAGGTTTATGCCGTTTGTTCTTCTCACTTATGGTACTGCTGCTTGGCTGGCCTTTAGAACAGTGACAAAGCCAAAATATTTTTGTGAAGTTATGTTATTGGCAACTCAACCGAACTTTGTGCCTAACTCTAATCATAGATGTTAGTAAGCGTATTGATAGACAAAGCTTATTTGCATAATTTGTTTCTTACAAATATAGCTAAATAATTTTAGAGTGCAGTTTTGGTTTCTGATTGACACAAACCGAAGTCCATAATAATATTTAATTGATTAAAGAGTTTTGGTTGAATTATTTATTATTGGAGCTTCGATTATGTTGGTCCATTCAAACCTCTTACTAGCTTTGATAAAGTCTCAAGGAAAGAATTAAAGGGATTTTCTTAACGATTTAAAGGATCTTGTCAAATTGTATAAAAACGCTCACACAGATAGTTTGCACTGGATGTGGCGCCAATTGATAGTGTTGTAAGCATTAGGTCGCGTGTTTCCACGCGACACTAATATATTTGTATCACGCACATTAATTATTTATTTTAACTTGAAAAATAAATAATTATGATCTGTATGGAAAAATACTACTTTTACAGTGAAATAAATATAAATCAATTTTTAAGTTGGAAATATTATCTTCTTCGTACAAATGTTGGCTTCTATGAACGTCTTATGGTGTAGATTCTTTAGCCGCCATCAGTAGGTTCTCCATTTTCTTATCTTTAATTAGAGAAAAGAAAACTATAACAAAAAAGAATTGGAAGGAGAATTAACGATCAATAGAAAATTCTGAGAACAGTCATGGCAAGGAAAATCGAGCGGTCAAGCAGTTGTAAAGCAGTTTGTAAATTTGTCATTATCAAATATGTATAAATAAACTATTGAATGATCATTTAGCAATATGAATTAATTTCTAGATGTTTTTAAAAGAAATTTAAAAACCGATTCCTTATTTAAACCATTTTTTCTGAAACGGATTCGCCAACGTGATTTATTTTGTCACCGGAATTATCATTGTTTTTATCCTCTATGAATTTGGCCATCATCAACCCAAGATAGGCAAAAAACACTAAATAAATAAATAAACAAATAAATAAATCAACAATATATGGGTTCCGTTCATTTCACCGATTCGAGTTTAAAATTCAAGTTTTGCTATAGTAAAAAACTCTCAGAAACAGTCACATTTATTATTATTATTTGTTTTTGTTACAGTAAAAGGCACTCACATAAAGTCACATCTGTAACTCAAATTAAAAATTCGAATTAGTGAACTAAACGGACCCATAGTCATGTACTTCCTATCAAACCCCTTTCGCAGTTGTGAACAAGAAATAACATTTTGTATTTTCACTTTAAATTTCTTGGCAACCTTCGTTGATAAAAGTTGTAGCATGCAGAATGGATACTCTGCAGTTCTTGCAGGGAGTCTTTGGTAGGGTTTTTGTATCATATTCTTCTTGGGTTTTTTTTTTTTTTTTTTTTTCCTCGCACAGAAGTATATTGCTGTTATATTTATATTTATATTTATTTTTGTGTTTCTTGCTTTCTGATATATTCAAGGAATGTCGCTGCATTGTTCCTCTTCTTGGCACCAGTGTAAGCATGTGATATGCCTTTGGACGTGGAAGGAGCAGAAGAACATGCAAGGAAGGACACGTGCCAAGAAGAGGAGATCAAAGTTGTTGAAGAAAGACAAGTGGAGGATGACGTGGAAGAGAGTGGCGTGGCAAAAGATAAAGCTAAAAGAAGCATTAGAAGACCAAGGACATTTGAGGATTGAAGAGTAGCTGCTAAGGGGAGATCGTTAGTGTTGGTGATTTGAGGCTTTGTAACTGATTCCGTTAGAGGTTGTATTGATTCTGTTAGAAATTATAACTACCAGTAGTTAGTTGGGATTTCCGTTGTATGAAAGAGAGTATTAATAATGAGGGTATACAATTCTGATGAAAATAATGAAGAATTACAGAATTTCAGCCATTTGTTTTCTCATCTTATCTTCTTGAATCTCTGTTTCCTCTCATCTCCTTCTTTCTTTTCCTTTCTTGAATCTTTCGAACACAATCTCCTCATCAGTATGATTTAAAGGAAAACTCACGAGTCACTTCGTTTGTATTTCTCATGTAAAGTTATGTTGCTGGATTTGATGGAATGAGTTCATATGTCCCTTTTTTCTATTCTTTTTCATGTCCTCTTAATAATATGTCACGTCATTATTTTTAATTGACGTGATAAAAATCTTTTAATTAATGTGAAATTTTAATTGATGTGTCACAATATTATTGGAATAATATAAAAATGAATAGAAATAAAGGGACACATGAGTTGGTTATGGATTTGATGGGTTGTTTTTTTAAAAAGATGCGTCTATTGACATTCTTATTTCTATTTTTTATACACACATTCTTAAACCACCTCTCATATTACTTGTTACCCTCCTCTTAAATTTCTAAAAAATATCTATAACTAAATTATTTATATTTTATTTTTTACACACATTTTTAAACAACTCTCATTTTACTTATTACACTCTTCTTAAAATTTCAAAAAAAAAAAAATCCATGCAATTAATTTGTATTATTTTTCGGTTTTTTAACCCACCCACTAACCAAACTTATTATGTGTGTTTGGAATGAGTTTTAAAATAATTTTGTTTTTAATAAAAAATAAAAATAAAATTGTTTTGAGAATCATTTTAGGATCAATATTGAAATTGTGTTTAATTAGTTTTTTAAAAAATTATTTTGAGTATAATAAAAAAAAGTAAAATCGCGTTTAATTATAATTATTAATCAGTATATTATAAGTAAAGAGGGAAAAGGACAAATTTATTTGCTTCATTTTATTTGCTCCAAAAAGAGGGAAAAGGACAAATTTCTTGGGCTTTTCTCGCTTGTGCTCGTTGTCTTCACAACTGTAGCATTAGTATCACTCTTTGCCTTGCATCACAACACCAGGAGACTCTTCTGCGGCCTTTGCTGCTTCCGTTTTCTGCATCTTCATGTTTGCACCGCCTCTATCAGTAATGATAAATTAGTACATTGTTAATTGGCACAAGAGAAATTTTAGACAGTTTAATTTATTAATTAATTAATTAGTCGAATATATTATTTGGCATGCATTATTTTTTAGAGCAATAAACACTTTATAATTTCTGTTTGTGTACGCTTCTTGAGCAGAGGAGGGTCATTAAAACAAAGCGTCGAATTTATGCCCTTTTTCTTGTCCCTGTTTGTTACAATATGTAGCACTACCTGGTTCACCTATGGCCTGCTGGGTCATGATTCTTTTATTGCTGCAAGTAAAAACCATGATATGTGTAGCCAAACGGTGGAATTGATCATTAACGCTTTTTTTATTATTAATATTTTTTTTAAAGTGGAAACAATGGTACAGTACTCCCCTACGCAACGTTAAATTAAGAAGGTTATCAATTTAGAATAATGTTAGAGACACTAACTCTAATATCTAATTCTTGTATATTAACTTATGTGACTTGTGAGTTGTTATTTTTATATTGATGGATGTTTAAAACATTGTCATGTCAATTAATGAAAGAGATAACATTTACTAATAAAAAGATGACAAAAAAAAACCGAGTTCTATGTCGTCTCATAAACGGAATTATTGATATGATCATCGTGATAATGTTGCTGCAGCTGCCAAACGGCTTAGGTTGCGGTCTTGGAGCAGCGCAACTTATAGTATACTTCATTTATCGTGACAACAAAAACTCCACCCCTCAAGAATCTGATCTGCAGAATGACTGCAATCCCGAAGTTAGCAATCAAAAAATTGTTGTTGCTAATCATTAATTAATTATCTTCTCTTCGAGCTTATCATATATATGATATTGTGGCTTTATGTGGAAGGATTGATCTGCTACAGTTATTTGATAGTTATTTTATATAGCAACATAAGAAAAATCATGAATAATTTTTAATAATATTAAGTGTGGATGGGTGCTAATATTGAATTATGGACCTAATCTTACATTAAAAATAAACCACTCTAGAAATCAATTTATCTTTGCATTCTCATTTATATTTTGCGTTAATTTATTGTTCATTGTAAGAGATTAAGCCAGGTGAGGTGAGAGGTCAATTTTGTTTGTTAACGATTTTACAAGGTCAACAACTCGATTTTATTTTTCTTCCACTATATATTAATGATCCTTCATCTGTTCGATATTAGAAGATTCTAGTTTCCACACAAATATTATAAGATTATATATGTGAGAGGTTAAAATCACGGCGTGACATATATATATATATATATCACACGTATGCCAAGTTGCTATCACTAATAATTTGAAGCCAATGGATGTTGACTGTGTATTAAGTACTACTTTGCGTCATAATCACGTATTTAACATAATCCTAGTCGGTCAACTTTCATAATCAACTAGTTAAACAAACAGAAAAGAGTGATAAAAAGAATAATGCTAACATTTTTCTATTTGTATATCAATCTAAGAAAAAGCTACATATAAATAAATTATTTATATATGCTATCAGAAGACAAAATGTATGTGTATTATGTGTTTGGGCCAATCATTCTGCAATAATATTAGCCACATCTATGCTCGTGTTGGAAGATTTTTCTACAAATCGACAAAGTCCTGATCTAATGCCTCTCTCTATTCATAAATAGAATATTTTAATTAATGAAATAACAAAAATAATCTTATAAAACTGAAAGCTTGGTACCTACTTGGAGTAAAAGAAATTTGAGATGGGAGAATATATCCTTAATTAAGTTGGTCAAAAGGAACGATCATGATCTGCTAGCTACCGATAATAATCTTTTTATTGAAGAGTAATCACATTACCCAGAAACGCCAATTAAGCTTATTATTATTCAGCCTTTGTTCATTCTAATACACTAATAGGAGATTATACTCCATAAAACAGTTTTAAATGTCATTCTAAGCATTAAAGTGTGTAATACTTTTTCTGTAGTGAAAAACACCCAAACCACCATTTACTAAACACAGCTCTAGATTTGAGGACGAACCACTCAAAATTTATTTCGTGTTCATTTACTTTTCTGCATTTAATCACATTCACTTCTACATTATTAGCATTCATTAGTTCTGTGGTGAGATAAGAGTTTTCGAGAATTCTTTTTGACGAATTTTCACCGGGTGTATTACTTTTTATCGACTCGAGAGAAATAGTATATTGATCAAGAATGAGAGAGTTTAATTCTTCCATAAATCTAAGAGTTATTTCTCTCCTTAATACAATGATTCCTCTCACATCCTAGCATTCTAATTCTTTATAACACCAAATATTTAATTGTCTTTGAGGAAGAGATATTTTCCTTGTGATCCTTGAGTGATACATCTTCCAGTCCCTTGAGCTGAACATTGGTGAACAGGTACCTGGGTGTGAGGACGTTTGGTTGGAAGATTTAAATCATGTGATTCGAATCATTTTTTATTTACGTGTATTTTTTGTGAGAGAAAATACTGTAGCGAACCACAAATCATGATTCGAATCAAGGTACGAATCTCTCTACCAAACATCCTCTCCGAGTGTTCTAGGTGTTCGGATGCTCCGATGCCCTATCTGTTGATGTTTGGAAGCTACAATATTGCCATGTCGCAAAAATGCCAAATGCCATAAACATATTTTTATTATTGTAGAAATTCCGCCAATATTGTTTCCAACGTTTTGTAGGTACTCAAGCATAATTTATTATTCCATACTCGACGAATAATTTAAATAAAGAAAATAGAAATCTACTTCTGTTTTTTCGTTCCCCTTCTTTTTTCTTTTACTACGAACATCTTTGTCATAATTACTTCAGTTTCAAAGTTTTATACTCTGGTGAATTCCTCCTCTATAATAAATCACTTGCGAGAGATTCGCATGGGAGGATTTGAAACAGACGAAAACGTGACGTTTTGAACTATAGTTTGCTTGTAGGGGGCAATTTGATAGAAAATGGAAGTTTTGTGGGCAGAATCCTCAACCCATCACTAATTAATATAATGATCAGAAAAAGCACAAGATCGGAATTTAATTTATTTTATTTTTCAATAAACAACTGGTTAACACACTACTACATAGCATCCTTTTGTTTTAGGGGGAGAAAAAGGATAGACACAAACTCCAAAAGTAAACTAATACATAGTACATTTTTATTCATCAAAACATTAATACATAATACAAACAAAATCACAATGGAGAAACAGCCAAATCTTCTTGTCCCACTTTCTTATCACAACACCTACTCCATAAAAAAATTGATGAGAAATGTCTGCATCACTCTTTCTGTCACTTTATTTGTTATTCTCTGCACATTTATTGTTTGATATATAAACTCTACTATTTCATTTTCTGTTTAATAATAATAATATATTATGTCAGTAGAGTTTAAGTGTCAAACAGTGAATGCAGAGAATGATAAAGAGAGTAACAGAAAGAGAGTGATGTCAACATTTCTTATTGCGAAATATCAAACAAAAAAATGAGAGAGATGATCATATCGGATTTCAACCTCTCATCTAGCATATTTTAAGAAAGACGTCAGTACTAGGTACATAACTAAACACCAAAACATTAAAGGATGTTGCAAGCTGATCCGCCACCGTAGGGTGCAAAGCTAACGGCAACAAGCTGACAATCTTTACAAAAAGAGGGAAGAAGAACGTATTTTTCGGGGGACTTCTTCTCCGGCGGCTTTGGAGGTCCGACACTAATAATCTCCGCACATTTTCTGGCCTTCCTTACTTGCTTCACAATCATCACAGGGTCAACGTCCCCAATCACTGTTAACGTCCCCTTTGTGGCGTCCACCGATACCTGATTTATTCCTGCTCGTAATTACCATGGATGATATTTAGCATTTTTTGGCCATTATGAAAGTAGCACAAACGGAGCTTGAAACCTAATATAGGATTATATATTTTATACATGATGCATAAATTAAATACCACAAAGCTTGGTGACTGCTTTTAGTACGTCCTTCTTGCACTTCTCGCAATTGACGTTAACTTTTAGCTCAGTCTTCTGTAGTATATATGCGTATACATAAATATACGTAAACATAAATTAGTGCTGTGAATGACGAAATTATACTGAATTTTTTCAGAGAGAGGAGAAAATATGGTAATGGTTTGTTTACCTTAACCGTCGACATAATTTACGATCGAGGAGAAATGTTTTAGGACAAACTATGAGCTAGCTAGTTGAAAATGTCACAGAAAGGAAAGCGCAAGGGCTAAGATTTGCAGAAGAAATTTAGGAATTATATATATGATTTGCATCACAAAAACAGCTACTTGGGCACTGTCTTGGACTCGTTCATATAATGATGAGCACAATATATTATGCGTTAGTGGATCCATAGGTAGGTCCATACTCCAATGTTGTTTATTATACATACATAGGACTATGAGTCTTTGACGAAGTACATGCACTACCTTTTCAGATAATTTTAATTTAGTATCTTGTATTATAGTGAAATTTTCTTTTAACGGGATCTGTGTTTTTTAATAACTTTAAATTGATACCTCAACGTTTAAAAAAGAAAAAAAAAATTAGTTTATTTAAATTAGTACCTCAACATTAAAAAAAAAATAATACTCTAGTGAACGCCTTTTTTTTTTTGTACCTCAACAGTGATTTTTGTTTTTAATATAGAATTTACAACCACAACCTAGTATCAAATTGGATCAGAATATGCATTTCGACTTGAAACTTGGACAAGTGATAAATCTATTTAGAGCCACCACACACACACGACAGATGACTAAAGATTAACTAAACAATTCACCTAATTAAAGAGTTTCTAAGAGCAACTCTAACTATACTAGTGATTTCATATTTTTAGCTAAAATAACTAATAATTTAGCCTTTTTTGTTTAACTTTCTTCACTCCAACCATTAACTAAATAGTTAGCAATTTTAGAGAATGCACTCCACACTAATTAAATATAACTAGCATGGAGTGGTTAGCCATTTCATGTTTTGCATTATTTTATTCTTTTATTTATAATAAATGTAAAGGTTATTTTATAGATTGAATAAATTTATTTATATTTTAAATTTAATAAATATTAAAATAATATATGTTTAGCTAAAATAAAGAATATGGTTAGAATGACTTACTAAAAAGTTGTCAGCTAAAATAATTTTCTAGTCATTTTAACTAGAGTTTAACTAAAATTTAAGGAGCTTCTTTGGAGATGCTCTAATCTTATTTATTAGAGTATCAGAAAAAATAAATTACTGGCAAGTTTTTTTTTCAACCATTAAATTTATTTTTAAAATTATTTATTCTGTATATTTTTTAATGTGACATAATCTAACCGTTAAAAATAACGTTACCCAGAGATGAGATCTATCAGAAAAACTACCTATTATTAATAGTTAAAAGCATGCGTAAGCGTGGTCCTCCAAAGGAAGAGATCAAGAGAACAATATTTAGACACACACTGTTTTCTCGAAACTCAACTCCCAAGTGGCATATCAGTAGCATCTAATTGCATGAAGCCAAATACTTTTCCACGGTGTTAATTGTTTAGTGATGGAAAAATATTGCGAGTAGTTATAGGAAGAGATAAACAAAAAAAAAAAGTTACATAAAGACTTCTGAGATTATTTTTGTAATAAAAATCACAACATCGCCAATTGTTCTTTTCAAAATTTTTTATTTTTATTATTATTATTTTTTTTTTATTTTTTTTATTTTTTTTATTTTGGGAAAGAAATCGCCAAACGTATTTATCAGTTACCCAACAATGTGGTTAGGGTGTGGATGTCAAATGGAAGCAACTACTGACAATCTGCAAGTAGCAACCAATGAGTGTCTTATTATTATCTTTAAAAACAAAGTAGCTTAAGGATATTATTTTTCTGCTAATTAATTAAGCATGTTAAAGATATTAGTTATTGACTAGGCTTAATTAAATCTTACGTATTGGTGTAATCAATTAACAGACGTACTAATAATTCAAACCATTGATATATAAGACAGGAAGTAGGCTGCTGGTTAATTATTTGAAATTTTCTGACCTAATTAAAAAATAAATAAACGTCTCAACATCTCCTCTTAGTAGTCAAGGTCAAGCCCATCCAAGAATCACGATTACTTGGGAAATCTGTGGGAGCTGGGAAACAGCTATATGGAGAAGTTCTTAAAATTAACTATATGTATAGTCAAATGTATATGAATATGACAATAATAATTATATAATTTAATATACAAATTATTTATAACTCGTACATATAGATATAGTAGAAGCAAAAGACTTTTCTTTATGGGTAAGTAGTCAAAACTTTTCGCAAACTCGTAAGCTCGGCCAATTTATCTTAAAAACTTGAGGCAACTATTTCCATTTCTTTTTAAGCAAGGGCATCACTGGAACCAATAGATACGAAAGAAAGATTATTCAATACTTATTTTACATAGCAATTACATGAGAAGGATCCTGATGGTTTAAGAAAATTTTTTAAAATTCTATCCTGATTTGTTCTTTGCGTTTTACCTCCATCAAAAAAATTTGGTCCTAGAAAGTTTCTATGACAAAATTCGATTTGGTCATAAATGGCTAAATTTAGTCTCGTAAAGACCCTTAGATTGGTCGTGGGGAGTCGCGTGTGTTAGTGTTAGGAAAAAACACACTCTTATATCTACGCAGTAGAAAAATAAATAGAAATAAAAATAACAGAAAAATAGTGAAGATAAAGATTTAAGTGGTTCAGAAAAATTTCATACGTCCACAGAAGAGGGAAAAAAACTAGTTTTAGAATTACACACTCAACAACCTTTCTCTCTCTACCCAAAACCCCTTATACCATTTGCCTATCTTTCTCCTCAATTTTCTCTATTTCTCTCAAAATGAGGCACTCTTTGTCTATACCTTTCTCTTAGCACACATAAAATTTTATACAAAATATTTATTTATAGACTCCTAATAATCATTGCTTAAAAATTAAAAATAGTAACATACCTAAAAAATATAAAATAATAACTTTCTCAAAACTAATTTGAGTCACTTACTTAACAATTAGAAACTTGTGACCAACTTTTTGGTCACAAAAAATAGTTGCCAAAACCAAGATTTTTTTAACCAAAATATGATCGCAAATTGATAAAGTTTGGTCGCAACTGAACTAATCGCGACCAAATTATTTTTGGCGTTGCAAAAATTGCATTTTCCTCTACTTAATGGTGCTTTCTTCATACTTGAGTTTTCTAAATTAGAAGTCCTTCAATGCACTTGGACTCCTTCAATGAATAAGAACTGTACGGAAAGTTGCATTTTAGTAAAACTAATTTACTAGTCATTCAAATTTAAACAACCAATTACGTAAATCAATGATAATAGTGACATAGAAAGAACTAAGCTGAAATGGGAATAGTATAATTTAAACAACCAACCAATTACATATAATTTACAACCATTATCCTTTAATTACAGCTAATTATCAAGTAACTGAAATGGGAATACTATATTAACTAACTGAAATTTCAGAGCAGCCTTCTAGAAAGAACTAAGCTGCATCAAATTTTAAATGGGAGACGGTAAAGAACTTAATTGTCGTGTTTGGAATTTTTTTTATTTTTATTTTTTACGTTGAGAAAGAAAAAATAAAAACGATTTTAAAACGGTATTTGGCACAATTAAAGATAAAAAATATAAATATAAATAATTTTTTAGTTTAGTGTAAAATGTGAGAGAAATGAAAAACGACTTTTAATCGTTTTTTATTTTTTTATTTTCGTTTTCTCTTCTCTCGAGCACAGAGAAAGACATTAATGAGTTTTTTTTATACTAAAAATAATATCTTGATAAAACTATCAAACCTATTTTTAAAAATAATTTCTATCTAAGATTGAAAATGTTTTTATTTTTATTTTCATATAAAAAATAAAATTATTTTAAAATGAATTTTAAACGCATCCAATATATATTATAATTATCAGTTCGAACTAATATATGTTATAGTTATCAGTTGGAACTAATATTAGCAGCTCCAAGACTTGTCAATTTTGCTAAATTCAAATTTCTAAAAAGGGCCTCTTTTAGATATAGAAGAAAAAGTACATGAAATTTTATATAAATTTATATTTGGACACGTTGTAAATTGGCCTAAAAATAAAACTCATAATCATCACAGAATTGATTTGACAGCCATTATAAATTATGAGCCTATTTAGTTTTTACTGATTCAAATTTTTAATTCGAATTGAGATGTGATTTTATGTAATAGCTTCTTATTGTAGTAAAAATGTTAGATGTGATTGTTTATGAGAGCTTTTTACTGTAACAAAACTCAAATCAGCGAAATGAACAGGGCTAACTTTGTTTAGGACATGACTTCTCGGAACACTTTCTGCGACCAAAATTGGAAAATGCGCAAAAACTCCAATGTCCTTGGATGCAAACGTATTTAAAAGTGAGGTATTTTCAACGATATTCCTACTTGATCGCACGAAACCAAATTAATTTCCCGTTCACTTCAACCGCATTGTGATCATAAAAAAATAAAAAATAAAAATAAAAAAAGTTATTATGAAAATACAAACTTTATTTATGTGCAAAGACCAGAAAATACATGAGCATATTCCAACTTATTTATTTATTTTCAGCGTGACAAGGACAAACACCTACACAACTACAACATACAAATGTATAGATATATAGATATATATAATCCATATATGGGCAACACCCTATTCTTCCATGCGGATGATGCACCGGATAGACTGCCCTTTCAGCATGTAGTCAAAGGCCTTGTTGATCTCCGAGAAAGAGACCGAGTGAGTGATGAATTTCTCAAGTTCCAATTCCTGCAAGTATCAAAAACAAAATGAGTTATTATACAGAAAATATATTGGCATAAATAATATTATAACATGAAGCAAAATTAATATATACTATAATAAAAAGGAAGGCGCAAACAAAAATCAAATCCAGCAATGCCTTCTATGTGGAAGGCAAAGTTTTGTACAATTAGCAATAAAATTCTTTTGTATAAACGATTAATTATTATCAATTCACAAGATACAATGTAAGAAAAAACTCAGCATTCAAAATTTCTAGCCGATTTCAATTCAGCTCCAAAACCCCACTTCAAGTTAAATATCAAAATATAGCTATGCAAAAAGTTCAGTTGTATTTAAGTTAAATT